ATAGGGATTTTTCCATGTAAACCAGTTATAATGCAATCTTAATAGGGATTTTTCCATGTAAACCAGTATTAATGCCAACTTAATAGGGTTTTTTCATTGTAAACCAGTATAATGCAACTTAATAGTGTTTTTTTTTCATGTAAACCAGTATAATGCAACTTAATGGGGATTTTTCCATGTAAACCAGTATAATGCAACTTAATAGGGGTTTTTACATGTAAACCAGTATAATGCAAACTTAATAGGGTTTTTTCCATGTAAACCAGTATAATGCAACTTAATAGGGTTTTTTCCATGTAAACCAGTATAATGCAACTTAATAGGGTTTTTTCCATGTAAACCAGTATCAATGCAACTTAATAGGGATTTTTTCCATGTAAACCGAGTATAATGCAACTTAATAGGGTTTTTTCCATGTAAACCAGTATAATGCAACTTAATGGGGATTTTTCCATGTAAACCAGTATTAATGCAACTTAATAGGGATTTTTTTTCCATGTAAACCAGTATAATGCAACTTAATAGGGTTTTTTCATGTAAACCAGTATAATGCAACTTAATAGGGTTTTTTTTCCATGTAAACCAGTATAATGCAACTTAATGGGGATTTTTCCATGTAAACCAGTATAATGCAACTTAATAGGGGTTTTTACATGTAAACCAGTATAATGCAACTTAATAGGGTTTTTTCCATGTAAACCAGTATAATGCAACTTAATAGGGTTTTTTCCATGTAAACCAGTATAATGCAACTTAATAGGGTTTTTTCCATGTAAACCAGTACAATGCAACTTAATAGGGATTTTTCCATGTGTAAACCAGTATAATGCAACTTAATAGGGTTTTTTACATGTTAAACCAGTATAATGCAACTTATGGGGATTTTTCCATGTAAACCAGTATTATGCAAATCTTAATAGGGATTTTTCCATGTAAACCAGTATAATGCAACTTAATAGGGATTTTTCCTTGTAAACCAGTATAATGCAACTTAATAGGGTTTTTTTCATGTAAACCAGTATAATGCAACTTAATGGGGATTTTTCCATGTAAACCAGTATTCATGCAACTTAATAGGGATTTTTCCATGTAAACCAGTATAATGCAACTTAATAGGGTTTTTACATGTAAACCAGTATAATGGAACTTAATAGGGGTTTTTACATGTAAACCAGTATAATGGAACTTAATAGGGGTTTTTTACATGTAAACCAGTATAATGCAATTAATAAGGATTTGGTTACATGTAAACCACTATAATGTAACCTAATAGGGGTTTTTACATGTAAACCAGTATAAAGCAACTTAATAGGGATTTGTACATGTAAACCAGTATAATGCAACCTAATAGGGATTTTTCCATGTAAACCAGTATAATGCAACTTAATAGAGATTTTTCCATGTAAACCAGTATAATGCAACTTAATAGGGATTTTTCCATGTAAACCAGTATAATGCAACCTAATAGGGATTTTTCCATGTAAACCAGTATAATGCAACCTAATAGGGATTTTTCCATGTAAACCAGTATAATGCAACCTAATAGGTTGCATTATACCACCAGACCAAGACCCAAACGAAGACTCAGACCACCACCAGATAATGACCACAGACCAGGTTTCCTTAGTTACAGGAACCAAATTGTTTCAGCGGTGAGGGGATTTTTCAGTTTTCAAGGACACTTTCAATACATTCAGTAGTTTCAAGGATTTCAACTGTTTAAGAATTTAACCAGTTTCAAGGATATCAGGAGGTTCAAGGATTTCAGGAGTTTCCACACTTTCAACAGTTTCCAGGTTTAAAAAAAGTTTCAAGGATTTCAGGAGTTTCAATGTTTCAACAGTTTCAAGGATTTCAGGAGTTTAAAGGTTTCAACAATTTCAAGGACTTCAGGAGTTTCAAATATCTATCAAGTATTTTAACAGTTTCAAGGCCTTTTAAAGGATTTCAAGGATTTTTTTTAGCAGATTTCCACATTAGATCTGTTCCGCAGTCAATCGCAATGGCTTCAGCCATTGCAAGTTTCTAGTTATTACTGTTGTTCGCTTTTTGGAATGATCAATTTTATTTTTTCTGCTACTGGACACCTAAATTTCTACAACGGGGATCAATAAAGCATCTCTATCTATCTATATAAAGATATGTAGTGATAGAACCAAGCTTAGTGAAGAAGGTGACATAGTCTGGGATCGCGTCTTTCATTCAGACAAAAGACATGTTTTATTGTCGATGGTAGAGACAGCACAAACACAGATACAACAGAATGCAAGTGTATTATACAGAGCGGAGGCATGGAGTCCTCCAATCAGCAGCTGCCACGGTGCCATGTAGCTTGGCCTTCAGATAGACAAAACAAGGGAAAAGTACAGGCTTCTGCACATTGATAGAATGATGAGTTTAACTTTAACAAAAGTTGCTTAAAAGTGTTATGAAATCTCACATTAGTATAATGTCAACATCATTCTGGAGTCTTCAACTTCAATCCAAAACATGCCCTCGTCTCTCTCCGGGCTTTTATCGACGTGTTATTACATGCTCATTGAAAATGTTTTATGTTGCCTGAGGATTTGTTTTTATTCTCTTCTCGATTCCAATTCAAACTAAGTGGCTTTCCGAAAGAGAATCAGGGTCATGTCTCACTTTTCCCCTTAAAGAAAAAAGGCCTCTACAGCTCGTTACAAAATCATGACCTGATCATTTGGACGCTGTGTGGATGAGGTCAGAGTCTGTGGGGGGTCCGTGGCAGCGTGTCAATGGGTGTGTTGCATAAGCTTTGGTCATGTGAAGCTCTATGTCAAGGTTGTCAAAATTATTTTTAGTGGCCCCTAAAATTATTTTTTATTATTATTAACTAGCAGCATTGATGGTAATGGGTGACCAAGGCAGGTTATACATAATTAATTTTCTCAGGAAAACAACCAACTTTAATGTATTCTGACATTTTAACCCAATAACACATAATTAAGTTAAATAGTTCATTATAAAAAAAATTACTTTATATTTTAAAGTACATCCGTGACATTTTAGTGCCAATGTGAACCAACTCGGACCCTGAGTAGGGCAGTCCCTGTGCTCTTCAGAGTCCGAGTTGGTGCACAGAGTCAGGAATAAACATAGGGAGGCAGCGTTTTAGATTTATGCAGCTTAAATCTCCTAAAAATGTGCTCAACATTTTCAAATCCAGGTTAAAATATATAAAACTCTTTTTAATGTCCTGTGATTATTTATGATTTTAATGCCTTATGTGACTGTTCCTATTTTGTTTTGTCCAGTACTTTATCTTGTGTTTGAACTGTGCAATACAAATGAACTTCCCTTGCCTTGCCATGTTATTTATAATTTAATCCTCCCCTTCAGGATGGCTCCGGAGGTTGCAGCCGTGGAGAAGAAGGGCGGGTACAACCACCTGTGTGATATTTGGGCCGTCGGCATCACCGCCATCGAGCTGGCAGAGCTTCAGCCGCCCATGTTCGACCTCCACCCGATGAGGTGAGTCTCTCTTCATCCATATCCAGTTTATCTCAGAAGATAGACCCTGCTCTGTATGCTAGCAGTGGACTGACCGCGTTCTGGCGTCTCCATAGTGTTAGCCTTAATTCAGAATTGTTTTATATCGGCATTTCTTCCGTGGCATAACAAGTGCAGATGTGTTGCTAAGACGGTTGCTAAGGCAAGCTAGAGTTTCCCTTGCAAATAAAGGAATCTGATTAGTGACTTGTTGTTTATATTGGATTATATTGATTTACAAAGACAATATTAGAATATAAACACCAGGATCACAGAAAGTGCTCAAATTAAAGAAAGAAAGTAAGCCCAAAATGTGTGTGACATCAACGGTTACTGAGCTAGAGGAGTTTACTTTTCTATGTAAGTCAATAAGAGCAGGGCGAGTTGGGACAAAACTTCATCCATGAGTTCTTCCTTTTGAGCTTTATTGAGCTAGGGAGTTAGCATTGTCCAACTGTATACAGTCTAGGATTCTGGCTAAATTGTTCAATAACAGATGGATAAATCCGGATACATTTATTTATCTTCTTTTTGCTCAAGGGGAGAAATATATATACAGAAAGTATGGTTTAAGTACCATTTTTAACCAGTTTTAATGCAGGACAATGTAAAATGCTACACTCATAGGCTGCTACAAACTACTAGAATGTTCCTCCCATACAAATGTAAGTCTGCATTACTGTGACCTATCCAACGCTATTTCAGGGCACTAATGCTGATGTCCAAGAGCAACTTCCAGCCTCCAAAACTAAAAGACAAAACACAATGGTGAGTCCTCTATTTTAACTGGAACTGCGACATTCAGCTTTTGTTATTTATGAGTGTGTCGTGTTTACTGTACAGGTCGTCAGGCTTCCAGAGCTTTGTAAAGATGGCGCTGATCAAAAACCCTCGGAAAAGACCGTCTGCCGAGACCCTGCTGCAGGTATCCGTCTGCTGATCTGGTTGAATGGACAATAATAATATTTTCCAGACAGATAAGCAATGGAAATATGCCTGTACTGTCATTATTGTGTTATTATTATATGGTTATTTCTATATGCTTCTACAACATCAGACACTGTGGTTTATAATGGGCAAAGACATCTCCTCGGATTAGCCATGGCAAAATAACAAAATGAGGTACAGTTGAATAAAGGAGTAGTTCTTAAAGGGGGATTATGCAACTTTCTATGTAAAAATGTACATGTGTTTGAAGTTGACAAAGTTTGACAACCACTTTTTTTCTATGTAGGCTTCTGAACCTAGGAATCTGAAAGCAAATATTGGAATTGTTAACTATAAAATGTATAGTAAATAGATAAATAAATCCTTTGTGATCTACATGTAAACAAGGAATCATAGGTATGTCTCCCATGGTTAAAGCTGACAGACCCAGAGAAAATAAATATTAGTGATTTTCCACAGATGTTGAGTAAATGAATTAAACTTGTCTCTGTTCAGCATCCGTTTGTGACGCAGCTGTTGACGAGGAACCTGATCATCGAGCTGCTGGACTTGGCCAGTAACCCAGAGCTCTTCCACAGCCACGGCCTCGAGGAGAACGACGTAGAGGTCTGAGATATTCACACACGCACACACGCACACATATACACACTCATACACATTCATATACACACATGATACATACACATTCACATAAACATACACATGCACACACACACATGCACAAAAGACACACACACACACACATGCACATATATACACATTCATATACACACATGCACACAGACACACACAGATAATCAGATTAATTTTGATTGCCATTGTAAGTAACAGGCATATAAACAAGTCATAACAAAGTTTTTTGAAATAGATATAAAGGCAAAACAAAATTCTAGTACATATATATATTTACACACACACAAACAAATATTTTTCCTTTCAGATTGTTTCATAGAGTGTTTTTATTCACAGGTTGAGGAAGACGCTCCAGACAAGATCCAGTCAGCGGGGAAGCACCTGGCCGTGGAGAGGACCTCGTCTGAAGAACAATGTGAGGTCACACCCTGAACACGCACCGCTGTAGAGGAGGAAACTGTCCAAGGTGCTGTCTGGAGGAAACTCATGGACTCATGGACAGTTTGGGAGTTTTTCATGTGATGATTAGTTATCTGCACTGCAAAAAGTGATGAAAAACAATGCTCAAATTTAGCTAAATGTATCTTGATTTCAGCACATTTTGACTGCTTTAAAGATGCAGTCAGTAATTTTTTTTCCAGACGTATTATTTTAAATATTATGGGAAAACGTCCCTAAACCCTAAAAGTATCAAGTTAACGTGTGTTTTCAAATAGTAATGGAATTGACCAGATGCCTATGGCCTCCAAAAATTAATAGACAATATTTTGGAGTGGACCGATAAAAATAAACCAATGGGATTTGTTTACCCCCTTCTGTTTCTTGCGAGTGCGTGCACTGGAGTTATGGGATTTTCTAAAAACCTTAAAGGGCTGAACAAAAAATGCCAATTTATGTTTGCCGCCCACTCTCCCTGTCGTGACAAAGAAAATAAAATGCTAGATGTTTGGTTTGGTGGAGAGGCGAGGGGAGGGGGGAGTGGTGTCCAGTTGGTGCTACGGCTAAGCTAACAACATTGCTTACTGCACCTTTAAAACAAGATTTAACAATGGAAGAAGAAAAATGATCTTGTCTTGTGCGGGTTAAAAACTTTGGGAACCCCTGGTCTAACCTACTGGAGACAAACGCATAGATAAGAATCTCCAAGTCTGCTTTAGACACTATGTTTTTGATTTGAAGTCTGAGCACATTATTTCTCTTAGATTTCTGACTTGAAGGTTTCAGGTAGAGAGATTCTTTTTTGATTTGTCATGAGCTGTTGTAAAACCTGTTTCCTGAGTAGGCACAGGTGGAAGATGTGTTTTGCTGCACATTTCAGTTTCTGGAGGAAGTTGTGGTCGACTCGTGAGAGAGAAAGGTTACAGAGCTGCATGCCCAAGATGTTAGTGTTCATCAATGCACAATTGTTGATGAGCTGGTTTTAAACACGAACTGAAACGATATTTGAAAACGAACCAGTTGAGTTTCGGACAGCTGCCTTTGTATGATGTGAATGGAATAATGTAAGATGTTTATTAATTGTGTTGAAAAAGCCCTTCTTGGGACGGACATGGCAAATTAGCCTTGGCTATAAATTGTTGTAGTGTTTCACATGTTGATTGTGAACACTTCTCCCTATCTGAAAAAAAAGAAAAAGATAAATAAATAAAATAAATAAAATAAATAAAATAAATAAAATAAATAAAATAAATAAAATAAATAAATATAAAATAAAATAAAATAAAATTGTAATAATACAAATAATAATAAAACAAATTACATTAAAAAATAAAGAATAAAAGATAAAGAATACAAAATAAAAAATAAAAACCAAATAAAAAATCCCATGAGGTGACATCTGATAATAATATTTGTTTATTTGTTTGTTTATTTATTTATTTCAGGCATTTCACATTGGACACAAGTCACCTCTTTTCCATCATAGTTTCCAACAAAAAATAAAGAATTGCTAACATGCATAAGAGGGAAAAATAAACAATGTAATTTGATGTTCATTGAACCAAAATGAATAAACACTAAACTAAACATAATATCAGAAAGACTGGGCAGTATAGAGTTGAAAACCCAGTGACGAACCCAGTGCATGGAGGAGAAAATTAGCTTGTGACGGGTCGTGGTGGTGCATCGCTGACCTTAACCGCGGAGCTATCCTGGGTCGCACAGTGAAGTCACCCGGGCATAGACGTGGCACTGTCCGCAGCCACATACCAGTTACACCAGTGGCATGTCTGGTGCCATCCTGTGACGCTGCCCCCGGCCCACATGTGTGCAACCCCCCCTGAACAAAAGAGAGACCACTGAGGACGCATTGTGCCCATTCATACACAGTTATGGAGATGAATAGAGAGTCGGACTGCAAATTCCAAGACAATAACTGCTCTCATGCAAAGAGGAGAGATTTGACTTCATACACACATCATAAAAGTTCTGGCCAAGATCAAAAATATGATTTAAGTCAGGGCTGGCAAAATTGTTACGGTTGGGGGCTGAATTTGAAAAGTAACAGCTTGTCATAGGCTGTTGGTGGAAAATTACATATTATTTTCATTTATTATGAGGGTTTTTTTTTTGACAGAAAGGACTAGTTTGTATAACATGAGTTTTGATTTTTTTTTCTGGTAGATTTTTTCTGTTTGTACTGAACTAAAACTGGACCACAGGTGAAGACAGTATAATTGAAGACTATCGTGTGTCCATCAGTTTTCTGCTGTTGAGCTGAATGCATTAAACATGTGATATTTGTTGTTTGTGTTTTTGCAGTTGATCAGGCAAAATTTAGGCCTCCTTTACGGAAAGTGACAGAGCCCTATCCTGACTTAGTGAGTACTCAATATCTTTAATTATTCTTGTTTTATTGCATTTATCCAGCACCAAGAAGTAGTATTTAAGTTTGACCAATGTCATGGCCGGCAGGGTTCCTATGACGACGACTGGAGTCTGTCTGGAGATGAAGACAATTCTCCGTAAGATTAATCTAATTTGATGTAATACCGATTATGATAAAGTAATTCTATGTGTGGAGTATTTATAATAAGTGTCAGATGTAATCGTCTTCCTTGTGTGTCATATAAGCTGTTAACGTCAGGAAAGCACACACACATTTCTAATTTGGGTCGATGACATCCACGCAGCTGCAGTGAGAAAGTTGTACTTGCACCGTTGATTCCTTCCCGTCCCATTGTTAGCTGTGCGCCCGGCCCTAGTCTCATAAACAGAGGTCTTCCTGTTGCAGGAGCCTGCTGGAATGTGTGGAGCAAGCTCTGCAGCTGAGGTAGGACATGGCCGCCACCCCAGCCCTGGACCCCCTCCCGAACCCCCATGTCCCATGTTTTGAACCCTCCTGCTGGGATGATCTGTGGGTGTGTCCCTGCGTCCGCTGGGTGTGGGCTGATGGATTAGATTTTTATCATCGGCTTTAGTTTCAGCTTTTAGTGCTTCTTTGCTTGCTTGGATTTTGTTGCTGCAATTACGCCGTTGTTTTGTTTTGTCCTCGTTTTGTCTTCATTTTGGCATTTCTTGTTTAGTTTAGTAGAGTAAACATATTCTGTATCAGAGGGTAACAGACTTGTCTTATATTTCAGGAGTTTAACTATGAGGAGAGCGCCCTCTACTGATGTAAGTTATTATTGAATCATTATGCTATGTATGAATATAGGTGTTCAGTTATTCGTTAACAAATCTCAGTGTTGTGCTCAAACCAGTCCATGATTCTCGTGTATCTTTTAGGGTGGCAGGAGGAGCGGCCTGTTCAGTCCCACCACGGCCTCGTTGCCGGCCTTCTGCTCTCTGTCCACACAAGCAGAGGACCAGGACCACACGCTCAGACCCAGCTGTACCCTGGGTCCTGATGCTGCCCTGGAGAATGACTGCCACTCTTCACCAGGTAACAACAAACCCAAGAGCCTGCTTCTCAAAATCATCAGTCTGTGCAATGACTGGACCCAGGAAAGACCCAGGACCCGTTGGAGGGACTCTCTCAGCTGGCCTGGGATAGAGTGTGTGGACAGGGAAGTCTGAGCGTCTCTGGTTAGACTGACTCTGGTTAGACTGACTCGTGTTGGGGCAACACTGTGGTGCAGTGGTTAGCGCTTGTACCTCACAGCAAGAAGGTCTTGGGTTTGATTCAACCGCCAGACCTTTCTGTGTGGAGTTTGGATGTTCTGTGTAGGTTTCATCCAGGTGCTCCAGTTTCCCCTTCCACAAAAAATAAGTACATTAGGTCTGGCCTGCACCTTCTGTATTGTGTCCTCACTCCCATCTCTGAGTGATAGACAAATGGCCACAACAATTGCAAAGCGCTTTGTGACTCTGGTCTGTGAAAGGCGCTATATAAATAAAATTAGTTTTTTTTTTGTCTGTGTCTTGTGGTATCTTTATATTGTCTTTTATATGGACCTTGAGTCTGGAATAAACATGCATTATCGTTATTATTACACAAAAGTACAAAAGTTTTAAATGGGGGACAGAACCAGCCATTGTCAAGGATCTTAAATGAGAATCCTTGGGGCGGCTGTGGCTTATACAATGCTAAACTTTATTTATGTCCTGAGGCAAGACACTTCACCCGTAGCTTGGTATGCGTCTAGTGTGTGCGTGAATATGGCCTTTAACCTCCTCGTCAAATCACTGCTTTTCCAGGGTTGTCTCGCTGCTCTGCCACTCGGGACATCCGGCAGCGCTGCAATGACACATCCCCCACAGAGAAGCCCACGACAGCATCACCCCCCAAACGAGACACCCCTCTGTCCCCTGAGTGGTGCACGCTGAGGAAGAAGACCGAGGACTCAGTAAGTGCCGCCTGCAGAATACCGAAGTGTGCGCTCTTATTCTAACCGCAGTAACTCTCTAACGTGTGTGGTTTGCGATTTCCCGTGTTTTGTTAGAGAGCAGATTGTCATGGACTTCCTCCCACCCCTCAAGTCCATGTAAGTGTGACGGCTAACAGCATGCTAACGTCTGAGTTATGATTTATTACACCCAGAAATAATATATGATAATTGCTTTGTTTAATATTGATTAACTGGGACACACTGGGGTAGTCTTGCACAGTTTTTCCAATGTGGTTTTACTGCAAATGGCAAATACATTCTTGAATCTACTGGATGGAATTCTCAATATGATCGTGTTGATTCTGTGTGTTGTTGTTGTGTCTGTAGATGGGAGCGTGCTTCTCCAAAGTCTTCAATGGCTGCCCGCTAAAAATAAACTCTGCCGTTACCTGGATTTTTCCTAAAACAAGAGGTAAATTCATTACCGTTATACAGTATTTAAATCCATTATTATAAAATGTTATTGTACCTTTAAATATCAGGGACATAACTCTTTGGTAAAGGTAAGTAAAAGTAAAATGTTGTGGACAAAACAAGACCACACTTAATATTTCGGTTGAGAGCTGATCGGCTGAGACTGGTCCTCTCTTTGTTAGCTTTTAGTCTGAACAAGCTGATTTTTTTTATTGTGGTTTGAAAGTTAAGTACCCCAGCTTTAATTAACAACTTACTTAAAGCCGAGGTACCTAACTTTCAAATTACAATACATTTAGCTAAGTATACAATTACTTCTAACTTGTTCCTCTCTCTGAGTTTGGTTTTTATCATAGTTTTCAAATACGTGTACGTTTGTAAATTGTCAAATTTAGTCTCATAGCGATATTTCTTTAAAAAACATGCAAAAAACACCATGTTTTCCACTAAGATATAAACACAATGAGAACGTTACACACCATGATTGTGGCAAGTCCCTACAGAGCCTGTTTAACACCACAGCTGCTTTTGGTATAACCTCAAAACCAAATAATATTACTGTAAGACTCAGAAATACGTGTTCATACATGCTTCATCCTGGGGAGATTTGATAATAATGCTAGAATTTTCAAAAAGGAAAAGTCAAACTGATAACTAGAGACAGAATTTAAAGTTGCTACAGAGAGAGCGAGAGAGACCAGAGAGAGAGACTTTGTACAACATTAAAACACATTCTCGAGTTAATTTGTGTGAAAAACTTTTATTATTCCTTAATTATTACTGGAGGCAGTTTTCCACAAATGCATTAGTACAGTCTGTTGTTGTCGAGTCTAAAGCCAAAAACAGTCTCATAGTTTCTTACTGAGTCTATGACACTGTTTTAAACCTAATTGTCCTAACCCTAACCCTAACGACACGGATTGGAACATTCTTACAGCTCACACGCCAGAACCAATCCGCCAAACTCAAACGAGCAAAGAGAGGCTGTTGCTTTGCTCTGACTGATCTACACCAGGAAGACCAACTGGTTTTACAGAGGTCCCACTGAGGTTTTCTTTCCAACCAAACAGGAACACTTCAGACTACACTCATTTCATCAGGTCTTCAGGTCGAGCCTGGACCTGGGGCCATGAGGAGTCTGGTCCTGCTCTGTCGGACTGAGACCTCAGCCACACAGCTCCTTCTGAACCTGCCGGACCTCCCTGATCTCCAACGCGGTCTGGACTGAGACCCAGACTCGTTGGAGGCCATTTGCTCCAGAAACACAAGCAGCCGAACAAACTCTCCAGTACATTCTGCTGCTTTTGCAGCTTAAAGCTTATTGTGGACAACCCAACCTGGCAACCCCCTCATGGAGCCATGAGGGGGTTGCCAGTCATGGCTGATGCACTCAGCCAATGGAATGCTCGATTTTAAGTATAATTTTTTTTTTTCTGACCAGAAACATCCCATTGAGATTTCAGAATTTCTTTTTCAGGGGCCCCTCCCTGGCCCCTTAGAGAGAGGAGCTATTGTCCATGTTTTAGTGGTAGGGGAAACCGGAGCACCCGGAGGAAACCTACGCAGACACGGGGAGAACATGAAAACTCTACTCAGAAAGGCCCTGTGTCCGTGAGGATTCGAACCCAGGACCTTCTTGCTGAGAAGCACGAGTGCTAACCACTCGGCCACCGTGTCGCCCGAAGGGATTTACTTACTTGCGACTGCACCTGAAGTTTGCAGCCTTTTGTGTCGTCTTCTCCTGTAGTTCTTTAGCTCGTTGTTCCTCCTCCTGAGCTTCCTGGTCTTTCTGAGCGAACAGTTGGACCAGGCTCCTAACGTTCAGACCTAGCACCCTGCGCACCTGTCTAAAGTCTACGGATTCAGGCTTAGGTTCAGACGCGCTTTCATTGCTAACTATAGCTTCTATCGAGGTCTCTTTCTCTGTCCCTAACACGGCCCCTATCTCAGTTTCTATAGCGGCCTCTATCCCGGTCTCCACCTCGCCCTCCACCTCGGCCCCCACCTCGCCCTCCACCTCGGCCTCTAACTGAACAGTCAGATCGTCTTTTATCCTTCTAACCTCGAGGGTCATGGACTCGTTAACCTCCGTCAGAGTCCTGAGCTGACGATCTTTCTCTGCTAACTGGAGCTGCGTCTGTTTGAGCTCTTCTTCGAGGCTTCTGTTGGTTTCCTTCCACTGCGCCTCTCGCTCTCGCTCTCGCGCCAAACCCATCAAACTCCCCATTCTGGTCGTGGTGACTTCTATCTGATCTTTGACCTCAGTTACGGTCTGATCCTTGGCCTTCTGCAGCGCCAGGATCTGTTCATCTCGAACCTTCAGTTCTTCTTGAGCTCGTCTGAGCTGCTCTTGAAGACCCTCCTGCTCGGCCCTTCTCGCTGTGGTCTCTTCAGTCAGTGTTCGGATCAAGTCCTTGTCTCTGTAGCTGGAACAGCTCAGGACTGACGTCAGTCTGCGTCTCGACTTCAGCAGTCAACGTATTCTTTGTGGCAACGTCCGCAATCGATTCTCTCAGATCGATTCTCTCTGATCTTTCGAGTCTAAAGCGTCTTGAGCTTGCCGTATCTCCAACAGAAACTCTCTGCGCGCCCGGTTTGACTCAATCCTTCTTTGCTTAGCCTCCTTCAGCAGATCTTCAATCAGATTGGTCATGTTTACCTTCTGACGCGCAGCTATCTCCTTCACCTCTCTCAGTTCTTTCCCGTTACTTCTCAGAAAGGCCTCTCTGAACTCTTCTCTGAATTGGTGGAGCTCCAGCTCCATTCCCCATTCTCTCTGATTAATATACTTTTGTAACTCCTCGTTTTTTTCCCGGTAATCGGCTAAACGTGCGCTACAAGCACACTCATGTACCCGTTGTCTGTTATTACCCCTCCACATCCTGTTTGTCTTTAAATTTTATATAATATACAGTTAAGTGGGAAACGGTAGACTTATCTGTAAATATATATATGTCTAACTCCATTACCGCATGTAGAAAATCAGCTTCTTAAAAGCCTCCCTCGCGGGTTAAATTTGGAGCGAGGTTTAAAGTTATTGTTAAGGATTGGAGTAAGAAGTAAAAAGATGTAAAAAGGCACTGGGGTTAAAGTCCCACTGCCGATCACTTCCCTCCAGATAAATCCAAGTGTTCCGGAACCTTGAGACATCAATCATGTTTGTCCAATGGAAAATATCACAATATAAACAGCAGGATTGTGCTCTGCTTTTTTCCCCTCAGAGTTGTTGAATCATCTACATAACAAATTCTGAAAAGAAACTCAACGACCAAAGGTTTTTTAACAGAACATTTGAAATAAATACAGAATTGCCAATAAACACTAGCTAACATCCAATCTGTTTAAGAGCGTCTGTTTAATTTATGCTAGTAGTTTTTAGCCATATTTTGCGGCTCGAAAAGATAAAACACTATTTTAATTTTAGCAAAGTGCTCAGAAGAAACAGTTGCGAGCTTGCACGTAAAAAAGGTATTGTGTTTTTGTGTGTCAATTGTGTACAACAACAACGGTTGCTGTGTTAGCATTGTGACACTCCTCGAAAATTCAACAACAAGTGTGGGATTGTATTGGATTATTTGCCCAATTTTATTTCTCTCATTTTTCTATAGACCAATACCTTATTCTCGGAGCAGAGGAGGGAATTTACACACTGAACCTCAATGAACTACATGAAGACACACTCGAGAAGGTACGTGGACTGTAGTCATACCCTTACAATCTATACAAAGAGTGGATGCAGCAAAAGCATTCAAAACTGTATTCTCAATGTACAAAACTTAGGCATAACATTACTCCAATAGCTGTTACTACAAATATGAATGAAACTACAGAGGAGAGTTTGAATTTCAATGTGAAAAACTCCAAAGTGAATTTTTTCTATGCCTTCTGATTTTTGCAGTTACCACATAGAATACTGGTCTCCCTCTATGATCTCTCTCTCTGGTCTCTGTCTTTCTTGTCTTTCTCTGGTCTCTCACTGGCCCCTCTCCCCCTGGTCCCTATCTCTATTCTCTCTCAATCGAATCTCTCTTTGGTCTCTGTCTTTCTTGTCTTTCTCTGGTCTCTGTCTTTCTTGTCTTTCTCTGGTCTTTCTCTGGTCTCTCTCTGGTATCTCTCTGGTCTCTCTCTGGTATCTCACGTCTCTCTCTCTCTGGTCTCTCTCTGGTATCTCTCTGGTCTCTCTCTGGTCTCTCTCTCTCTGGTCTCTCTATCTTATCTCTCGCTCTAGTCTGATTGAATCTTGATCTTGAACTGGTGAAACTCTCCAACCCTATTGAAAGCCTGGTATTGTCTGCTCCAGCTGCTGCCCCAGAGATGCTCCTGGCTGTACGTCATGAACAACGTACTGATGACAGTCTCTGGTAATGGCTGCTGGTATATTATAATGGTTAACTGTGTCAGGAGCAGGTTTTCACTCTCATGCTCTGATGATTTGTGTTGTAGGGAAGTCCTCTCAGCTCTACTCTCACAGTCTAACTGCTCTGTTCGAACACAAAGGGACAGAGACTGTGCAGAAGAGGCCCAGCACCTTGTCCCTCAGCACCAGCCGCTTCACAGACCGCATCAGCCACAGGTAAAAACATTGTCCTAATATACTAATATAATATAATATATAGGAGGATCTTTGTTTACACCTGCGTGCGCATGCACCCCTCGCTGGGTGGCACAAAGACAGAGCGGCACTTACTGAAGCATGGATGCGACGAGTACTTTTAAAAGACTCAGTGGGCGAATAGCACTGTATTTAATCACTTAAACGCAAGAAGATCTGAGGAGATATAAAGACAAGCTAAAAATAAGTATGAGACCGAACTGAACAAATCCAAAGCCCATATGAAACCTGGGATAACGAGAACAAAATATTGGTCAGACTCACCTCTGTCTTGGCACCGATCTGCTGGGACTGGGACTCGGAGACATTTATTCTTACTTCATAGAAAACCCGGAACCCTTCGCATTTTTCATCGCGGTAAAGTGGCCCGGCATTTCGCCACGCATTAAAAGCGGTTTGCCCCCTTTTGTTGTTACTTACGGTAAAGGTGGAACAGGAAGCCGTGGGGATGAACAACCAAAATGCAATGTTTAAATGTAATCATCATCCATCATTCATGAATAAAAGAATGAATGAGTGAACAAGTGCGCAGTGAAAGTTGTTGCAAAACTTAAACTTGTTTATGAATTTTTATCCCCTCATCCCCCCGGCTTCCCGTTCTACGTTTACCGTCGGTGACTGCATAAAAGGACAACCACTTTACCGCAGCCGTTTTTCGCTGTTCTTTTCCGAAAGAATTAGAAAAAAACTTAACCTGTCCCCAGCGGGCCGTACAGCCGACCACACAACAAGAATGGACCATTTGATTTATTAAAACCTCTCTCCAAACATCTAAAAATAGCTAACTCTCTAGCATCCCGGTAGCTTTCTACGCTGTAGTGTAGTCACGTGACCGGCACGGAAAAACTATAAACAACGACGTCACTCCAAGATCCTCCTATAGGTTATGCTTGTGGTTCTGAAAGTGGGGGGTGCATACACTAAGCTAGGTAGAAGCTTTTCGTATATATCAAAGCCCCAATAACATAAATAAACAAGTCCTGTGTATTTCCCTGCACTTCTGCACTACTGTTCACATAAACACACCAAGAAGCAGGAATGTGACCAACGCAATCTACTCTGGAGATTTTCATCTTATAGATCTGTGTCCAAATCCTACACCCCAGGGAGAGCTCTAACTAAATAAAACTGCATACAGTGACCAAATTTGACATTTATTAACATTTATGGACATTGGTCATCTGCCTCTTATGGACCAATGGCTCTATGTGTTTTATTTTATCATTGATTTCTTTGAACTGTTTGATTCTCTGATCTGTGTTGACCAATTCAAAGGTATATATGAGGATTTTCTACTTCCGGGTGGATCATCAAGATCCCTAAAATTTTGGAAAATCCTCTTGGATACCTTCCTCCGAGATAACTACTGATTTAGGACTATACAAGAATAAATGTAATAGCTATACAAGCTAAGCTTCAAAGATTTAGAAAAAACATTTTTTTAGTCCAGCAAGTACTGTAATTGCATAACCAAAATATGTTATACTGGTCTGTGGGATATTTGTAAATATCTGTATATATTTTAAACAATAACTATACATTACATGTGTTCATCTACAGAAAGTTTGCTGTATCAGTGAAAATCCCAGACACTAAAGGCTGCAGGAGGTGTAGTGTAGGTAAGACGGTAAACCTTACACTTGTGTCTACCGGTAGTTAAATTATGATTGAGTTCCATACAAAGTTAAATTGAATGGAATTGAATTAAAAAGCACCCATCTCTCCCACAGCCAGAAATCCGTACACAGACAGCACTTTCCTATGTGCGGCCGTTCCCTCCGGTCTGGTCCTGCTTTTGTGGTATGAGCCTTTACAGAAGTTCATGCATCTTAAGGTGAGTTGATATCATCCTATACATCCATTATTCTCTCATCATTTTGTGAGATTTTCTTTCTTTGTTGACCTTTCCAGCACATAGCCATCAAGCTGCCAGAGAGTCTGCCTATATTTGAGTGTCTGGTGGTGGTGACGGACGAGTTTCCTCAGCTCTGTGTTGGAGTGAGAGACTGTAGTAATGAGAAAAGTGGTCAGGAGCTTACGTTTGATATCATTGAGCTCAATGGGGCCCCTATCTGTGAACCAGGTATCTCCGCCCTCTTTAACTATCTTTAAGTGATGAAAAATAAGTCAAAATTGCTCAAATTTGGCAAAATGTAACTTGATTAGAAGACATTCTGACTGCCGTAAAACAGGATTTGCCAATGGGACAAAGCAGAATTATCCTGCTTAAAAAACATACAAGAAACGTCTCCCTTGGATTAAGAAAAAAATGCAACAGTTCTTTAACATTGAATGCCAGCCTATTTCAGAACAGGTACTCCCACAGTGCCAGCCATTTATGATGATTTTTACTGATTTTTCAAGACCCACAGAATATTGTGTACTATGACTATCCGACACCAGATTCTAAAAGAATGGACTGTCTACTTTCCTCAGCAAAAATAATTTTGTTTATAGCTTTTTTCGTTCCCCTGTAATCCTCCGTCGAGTAGAGGGAAGTTTTACTGAAATCACCAGAAATCACCAGAAAGTTGAGAAAAAAGAGGCACAACATGTGCACCTACATGTTTTCAAACCATTCAGAGAGCAATGCTGCCACCTGCTGGCTCGATAAAATATGGTCTCAAGTCATCCCCATACATATTAGATACAATAAACATCTGGGAACGTGAAAATAGCAAAAAAGGCATTTGACGTATTAATGCGTCAATGGCACACAATGAGTTAAATAGGACTAAATAGCTCTGACCCATTAGAAAATCTTGTTTTAAGACTGTACTCAAATCATTATAAAAAACACTAAATTTAAGCATTTATCATTATCTCATATTTTAACACTTTTTTCTGTCTCTTCTTCACTCCACAGACTATGGAGGACTCAAGGTTGGACAGGTCACCCAGCTTGACAGAGACACAGTTCTTATTGCATTAGAAAGTAAGAGGCCTGAGTTCTGTGTTATATGAGCGTATACACACACACAAAAACACAAACACACACGAAACAGCTACTCCAATGTGGTTTTACTGCAAATGGCAACGAAACTGAATCTGATCTATATAAACGACACAACCTCAGTCCCCGTCACACAGCCTGAGTCCTGGATCTATAGTCTGTCCGTCCTTTGGCCTCCCAAAGGTTTCCTAAATATTCCCACTGGGTTATTGAGTCGTTCCTTGCCGGTGAAGAGGCTCTATGGATAGTGATGATACAGGACATTTATGGACATTTATGAACATTTACGGACATTGGTCATCGCCCCTTATGGACAAATGGCTCCCACGCTCTTGTTATTATTACATTTTCTGTGTTCAAACTGTTTCTGAGACGGCTGCTGTTGTGATCTAGGGCTACACAAAATTAAATTGAAACATGATTTGCATTAAATCTACAAACTTTTGACAGTATTCTTCCTTTTCCTTTTACAGAAACGGTTAAGATTGTTAACTTAAAGGGACAGCCGTCTAAAGAGCTTTCTGCAGAATTGATATTTGGCTTCCCCATTGAAACTATAGGTAACTGTCCACAGATGCTGGGATTGCAATATAGAAACTTGAATTAACAATATGTTTGTTGTAGTATGTTTACAGGACAGTGTTTTAGCTTTCTGGAAACATGGTCTCAAGGGGAAGACTTTTCATTCTGATGAAGTGAGTATCAGACTGAAAAGCCATTATTTGTTTTGTTTTAATCTGCTTCTATGAATTCAATGTTTATGTGAAGGTGACGCAGGAGATTACTGATGAGAGCCGATCCTTCAGAGTTCTGGGAACAAACAGGTGAGAATTCATATGTTGAAAATGAATATGTTGAAAATTAGCATGGTCTTGCTATAACACTCACAGAACAGCTGTATTTATACTGGGAGTACATTACACACAGTTTACCTCTATTTAATCATTAGGGCAAAGTGTTCATTGAGGTGTGCAACCTTCACCAGTCATTAGGAATGTGTTAAAGGCAATTTAATCCACTCAAAAAAAAAAGCTATATGAATACTAATGCAGGTCCAACTCTTTGAATCCAAACCAAAACTGCAGGTTAACTGTTTCTTCTCTTCTGCCTTGTTTGTCTTCTTTAGGGACATAATTCTCCAGAGCACGCCAACTGATGACCCCTCTGCACTGAGTAACCTCTACATCCTAACCGGTCATGAAAGTAGCTACTGAAATGTTTGGAATTAAATGTATTATTTATTGGACAACTTTATGTTATAAAGTTACAGTACAGTTATTAGAAAGCCATGTGGTTCTGGACTCTGGATCTGCTTATGCATGGCTCCGTTAGAGCATCCACTGAAGACTGTTTCAGAACTAAGAATGATGTGAGAATTGGTGCAAAAGGCCCGTTGTACTAAAGGGAGATGTTTATTTTGTTGTTGTTTCCTTGTCAGCTTTAACATTTACATGAATTTAGCACAAAGCACACCTGTGTTTTAGATGCTTTGGAAAGTCTCTTTGGGTTTAAACCAAAAACAAAACATAGACTGTAAAGTATTTTTCAATATTTGTTGAACCTCTACATCCAGACACTGACAGAAAGTAATACACCTGGATTCAATAACCTACTTTTACCAAAGAACATCCACAAATGTCTGTCATAATGTATACTGTAAACTGGCCTTTAATGTTACAAACATTGTATTATTATTTTTCAAGTGAGATTATTACTTTATGCAACATTCAGAATGAATGGTTTGGTGGTGACGTATTCCTCTAAGGAGGCCTGAATGACACTGTGCCATAGAACTGTACTGGATTTAATAATATCAACCTATCAACAGCCTATACACTTGTATTTATTGATTTATTCAAAGTTACTTCTGCTCCACCGTACATACACGATACATAACAATACAATAATGCTAACACACATACACACATCCGTAAACACACACACACACACACATATATCCTACCATTGATAAGACAGTTATTGAGGTTGTGGTTATTACACTAGCTCTCTTGGAATGGCTTGATTGCATCAAATGATGCAGTTTTTTTATGTCTAATACTTTATACAGAATGCAAAATATTGCTAAATGTGTCTCATAATGTAGGTTTAATTGAATCTTCTCATCTTTGGTTATAATAAATAGATTTTTTAAATTTCTTGATAACACTTCATCTTAACTCAACATTCCTACCTCTATAAGTACAATTTAACAACATTTAGAATAAAAAAATAATGTAATATAAAGTAGGTTTTCAGACTTCTGTCTACTTTGTTTAAATTGATGTCTATTGAGTAAAGGTGAAACTCTTTGCTGTATTGTGTTATAAGAGGAGCAGAAGAACACCAGAAATCCCCCAATCCAAGTTTTATATTGCGGAGAAAAGATCACAAAAGCAATCAATCCCCCGGTGTTGGTTGAAATGATTTGATTTTTAAATTTGTATTTATATTTTGATGTGTTGTTGTGAATGAAGCTGAACTTCTATGATTCTCAACATGGAACTTTCTTGTATTATTGCTTTACTATGGCAAACTGCTCTAGCTTGTTTGTTCCTCTGATTCTATTACTGGCCTGACTTTTTTGGAATGACCACCAAATGCAGTAGTCTTGCTACCACTAGTAGTCCTACAACTAATCAATCAATCAAATAATATGTATTTGTAAACCACAATTAAACACTATAGGCCTTCAAAAGGGCTGTACAGACAGTATAAAAATAAAAACGAAAATTCTCTTTCTACCTGGTGTTGAAAACCAAAGAGAATAAGTGCGTCCTAAGCAGGAATTTAAAGTGTTCCAGTGACTACAGTTGTAATGTGCAAAGGTAAAGAGTTTCACAGCTGTGGTCCTATCACAGAAAAGGCCCTGTCTCCTCTTCAGCCTGGTGCTCGGGCCAAGAGGATGCAGATCTGCAGAGTGCAGTGCTCTGGAAGGAAGGTGGGGCTGGAGAAGGTCATATAAACTGCTAGAAGCTACTGCTACTAGCGCTACTACTATTAACTAATGCTAAAGTACTAATATAAAAAACTGCTAAAGTACTAGATAACAAAATATCGAGTATACAGTCTGTGGTAGTACTACTACTACTTTGACTTACACTCCAACACAGTAGGTGGCGGAAATGAGCTGGAGCCACTGAGTGAAACCCGCCATTTCCTCAGAGCAGGAGAAGAAGAAGCTGCTTCCGCGTCGTTTTGTCTTTTTTTCCTCGCGTCGACATTTCCTTAATCGAGGTAAATGTTGTTTATCGTTACATTTATGAACACGTATTTACGCAGTGGCTGATACCGTAATTCTTAGTGTTTCGTTTATTATCATTTTGGTTCTATTTGCTGTAGTAGGTGCCGCAAGGGCCGCGGCGTGGTTAGCCCTCGCGCTATTACAAAGACTCTTCTATAATAGACCGTGGATGCTAGCTGTAGCTAACACTGTAGCTAACTTAAATAGATGATCGCATCTTTAATACTTTAGAGTTTATTAGTTCTGTATTCGCCTGTACACCAGAACCATTAAACGGCTCAATTTACGAACACGGGAATGATGGTCAAAACTTAAAACCCAGCATGTCCATTGAGTTTTTCGTGTTACATGAGCCAAAACAATGCTTGAAATGTGTCCGCTGGGTCACTTTTTTCATACAGGCATCGGAATGTTTTAATTCGAACAAGTTTATCTAGTCTGTGTGCTTTACGTATGTGTCATAATGTTTTGTGGTCTAGCATCACGTACCCTAGTGCAAAAACATGCTACAATATTTAATGTTAGGCCTATTGAACTTTCTCTAATAAACATTGATTATGTTCTTCTTGCAGCACAATGGTGAAAATCTTCATTGGAAATTTGGCAGCTGAAACCACATCAGATGAACTACTGTCTCTTTTTTCTCAATATGGGAAGATCGCTGAATGTGAAATTGTCAAGAATTATGGCTTTGTGCACATGGATGACAAATCTCAGGCTGAAGAAGCTATCCGAAACCTGCATCACTATGACCTCAATGGCCAGCCTATGAATGTGGAATTGAGTCGTGGGAAGTTGAGGGGGTCTACCAAGCTCCATGTTGGCAACCTTGCGTGCACTAACCAAGAGCTTAGAGCCAAGTTTGAAGAGTTTGGTCGCGTCTTGGAGTGTGACATAGTAAAAAACTATGCCTTTGTTCACATGGAGAGGCTGGATGATGCGATGGATGCCATTAACAATTTAGACAACGCTGCGTTTAAAGGTGAACTTTGGGGAAGGGGGTATACTTAATTAATTGAAACAGTGTCCAATTTGTTGCATTTTTTTAAACCCACATATTGGGTTTAGTAATATACAGGTAAGAAAAAAATGTCAAGACTTCAGGCCCAATCCATTATATTTTGTCTTGTTTTATTCCTCATAGAAAATAAACCAAAAGAGTATAGACGGAGGTATTATATTTGACTAGTTTTGATGAATAATGATCAATTGGCGGGTTTTCGATACTTGAAAAAAAATGACAATAACATACAGGAGTCATTCAGTGAATGCGATAAAGGTTCTTTCTGAATTTCTTCTTTTCAAGGCAAACTGATGAGCGTGAAGCTTTCTACTAGTCGGCTTCGTACTGCGCCGGGAATGGGAGACCGGGCGAGCTGTTACCGTTGCGGGGAGGAAGGCCACTGGTCCAAGGAATGTCCTCTTGACCAAAATGGCTATCCTCGAAACGGCTCGGGGCCGAGGTCGGACGGATTCGATGCTCCGAGATTTGCTGGGCGCGGTCGCAACAGGGGGTATAATCCGGGCTTCGGCGGTGAACCAGAGTTCGAAGGTGCTTATCCTCCGGTACCTAGTTCCCGTGGACCGCCGGGTTACAGACGTGGTGCGGCCTATGAGAGTTCGGTGAGGTATGGCCCTCCGGCGTATGGTGGCGGTCCTGAGCAGGACGTGGCTCGAATGTACAGCGCTGAGGCGGCATACAGAAGCAGCAGTTCGTATTATGGCGCGGTTCCATCCTACCCGGTCCGACGATCTGCTTATGAACGGGATCCGTACGAGGCCGTGGATTACTACGAGAGGTACAGGGCCGGTGCGTACAGTGCCAGTTATTTAGAGGACCGCCGCTCCGTTCCCATTCCTGCTCCTCCACCACCATCTTCGGCAATAATGAGGGAACGTCTGCAACCCAGTGCATACAGTATTCCTCCCATCCCTCCACCTCCCGCTCCTGTGTCATCCTACCTAACGCGTGAGCGCAGCCCAATTCGCAGAGTTCCTGATCCGATCGGGTACTCGTATGATCGTTCTCATGTTCCATCTACAGCCAGTCTCCAAAGAAGTTCAACCTACGAGCACCCGCGGGATCCCGCTGCCGACCGAGCACGCTACGGTTACTAGGCTTCTGTGTGAAGTGACTGATGACATGTAGAATTTGTTTTTATTCCATCTTCTGAAAGGTCACACTCTCCTCACCAGATAATCTTCATTCAATCTTCTTTTAAATTACACGTTTCAAGTGAACGTTCCCATTCCAGCACAAAACATGGTTTGTTGTAAATCTTTCAATTGTAAGATTCAGAGAAGAAAATTGATAAAGTATGATATTTTAAAGGGGGATCTCAAAGACTTGAACAATAGTGTTCCTTTCTTTCCATTTTTCCATTCAGTAATACCTTCCACATGTTAGTATTACATAATTTTTTGTTGACCGAAGCCATATTATACATTTTAATGTGACTGCAATTTTGTGTTTCGCTATAGTTTTTGCATTTGGACAAAGTGGTGATAGTGGGGTTTGAAAGTAGATGTTTTTGTTTTATTTTTAAATAAACTTCGTTTAATATTTTATTGTGTGTGCTTGTTTTTTGGCCGAATAGGAGAGGGATGTTTTATACGTTCGATAAAATTGAAATAGTTATTTTGTGGTGTGCGTGTACCAGTGGAGGTTGCCTTTGTTCTGACGTCAGTAATAAGATACATCAGAAGGTTCGGCTTTTGGAAGAGCTTTTTCACCAATCCCAATGCAGCATAGACTGTAGCAGCCAATAGCATGAGGCTCAAGGGGAGGGACTTTCAGGATCAAAGTTTGTGTCGCTGCAATGTGCGCCATTTTGATTACTCGAGCAGCGAGAGCGCTGAGACGAGGTCAACTTGTAATTTGTTGCTGGATAGACGACAAATACATCGAGAACACCTTATTTCAGTGCCATATAAATGGCTACTGGAGCAAATGCAACCCCCCTCGGGAAGTTGCACCCTAGTATTGGAGCGAAACGAGGATTTGACGCCGGGCCTGCGCCAGGCAACGGGCTCATGCCAACTCCAGGGCCTCCTGCCTCTTTTCCCCCCATGCCGACCTTCCAGCCGCCCATGCCCAACCCGCCTTTCCCGCAGTTTAACCCTGGGCCGAGCTTTCCTCAGCCTCCACAAGTAGCTCCCGGTGGCAACATGGCCAACCAAGGTAAGTGACTAGCTAGCTACAGTTAAAGTACAAATACAGTGACTGCAATTGTTAGCTTAAACAGCTAGCTTAATGCAGTTAGCCCAATGATCACTGAGGGCCCTTCTGTTCGTAGTCTCAAAATGGGGACTCTTCTGCGTGTCGTGCAGGGTCCGAGTACTGTGTAGTGTGTACGTTGTTAGAATTATATCTAATTATCCACACGTGGTGGGAAAGTGTACGTGTTAGAGTATTTTTTTCATGTGTTCAGACTTTACAGTCTGGTTCAGACTGGTCCTGCAGCGGCCCGTTAACCCCTTTGTGACCACTTGCTCCATTCAAACAGACCCACTAAAAAAGAGATCGTATGCACGTTTTTATCTCTTATGTTTTCACCAGACACGGGGCAACAAGTAAAGGCATATATTTGAAATGAGGGCCGAATTAATATTACTCTGAAAAAAAGATTATTAATTATGTTAATAATTAGAATTTTCTCATCCAAAATGTTTTTTTTTTTTCATTCCATCAACAATGGAAATTAGTGAGTACCACTTTTATATTAGCATTTCTCAAGAAGATAATCCAGTCTGAAAGCAGAATCTGGATAGTTTTGTCACTAACTCGTTGACTTTGCTCTATTTACTTTTTGGAGCGGAGGGATGGGATCATATTATCACTGGTCGTAGTGCTCTTCACACCGGCTTGATTGCAGATTTTCATTACCAAGCACACTCGCAGTTTGAGGAACGATTTGAAGACCCCTGCACTAGACAGACCGGAGATGGAACCTATGTCCATAGGCTTTACATGAGCAGACTCTGTACACTTTAAGGACAATAGCCGTGTCTAGCCACTCATGTCATGAAATACAAATTGGTTAAATGTATCTGGTGCTTGTCATATTCTTAAATTCCCCATAGTAGAGATTACAGTACTGTAAAGTTCTTACCAGAAACACTAAAACCTATGAAATCTACAATGGTGTACAACTATTTCAATAATTGATTAGTTGCAAATAGTTTATTAACTTGTTACAGCCCTACATGAAACCCTTTAATGTAAATGTTGCTGTTGCAGATTTTGGTCAAAAGAAAAGGAAGAGGAGCCGTTGGAGCAGTGAGACTCCGGACCAGAAGACCATTATACCAGGGATGCCCACTGTTATCCCACCAGGACTGACACGAGACCAAGAACGAGCTTACATAGGTAAATATCAGTATTTGACCATATATTGCAGATGTCTAATATGTCTCTAAATCATAATGAAGTTTACCCCCATGACGTACTTGAGGATAAATTATATTCTGTGTCTAAAACTCTTGTTTTGTATGCAATCCTATCCAATGAGAAATAATCACATTGCAATGTCAAATGTAATAGGAAAATGGAAGCTAATGTGTGTCGCTGTGTTTTAAAAGTTTGCATACCATTGGGCACCATTAGCAACAAGAGTTTAAACAGATGCTTGCTGTTAATGCCCACAGTCTTGCCTGAACCACCTACGCATCATCAATATTGTTTCTTTGCACAGAGGACTTATCCATTTTGTCCTAACATGCTGAGGTCTGCCTGTTTTGTAATTGGGCTAAGTGTGAGCAATGCTGCTTCAATGGCACCATCCTCTGTCCTCTGAATTGTTTGAACATCGTAACATTATTGGTTCAAACATCATGATAAACAAAACCAAATATATTCAGCCGATGCCTTCTAGCAGCAGTGTAACACTGCCATGCTGCCTTCTCAGGCCCTTATGGAGGTGTTAGACTAGATAAGTCCCTTTGTCAATAACTTTCTTTGTTATTGATGTTGTTTCATTGGTAATGGTTGTCTTTCATAGTATGTAATCCTTCATTTGTATTTACTACCAGTTTCTTTTGTTCCCTTCCTCATTTCTCGATCCCTTTTAAACAGTCTCAGATAAGCTTTTAAAGATCATCTTTGTCATGCAGTTCACAGGGCGTGTATTCATCACTAATAATAATTTTATTACACTGCGCTAATTTCTTAAATCCATAATGTGCATGGGATGATTTATGTCATTGCTTTTTAAACGTTGAATGTTTTTGGCACTGCACTCCTCACTGTTACATCTGTGGAGTGCAGAAAGAGACTGATCATCTGCTTTATATTTGGAATCAGTCAGTAATTTGACCAAGTGTCCTTTCCTTAAACTTGGGGCTGTTTGTGTCCTGGCTCATTTGGCAGTTCTTTCTAGGATTCACGGTCTTATCACTGAATGATATTTTGTGTTAGGACCACAAGCCACTTATGAGACTTGTTAGACATTAGAACAATAATTCTATGATTGAACTGATTGCAAATGTTGTACTTAACTGTTGGTTTTTATCTGTAATGACTAAGACTGTGCTCATGTGCAGAGCATTGTCTCTCTAATGTTGCTGTGGTAACCACATTTCTCTCCGTCCTTGTTTTTTCTTTCCTAACCTGAATTCTTCCAGTCCAACTGCAGATTGAAGACCTGACTCGTAAACTGCGTACAGGAGACCTGGGAATCCCTGTTAATCCTGAGGACAGGTCGGAAAAAGATTAAACCACAAACAGTAACACTTTCTCTATCCTCTTGACTTTTTGGGAAAAAAGTTTTGTTTTATGTGTTAGCCGTAAGTGTTAGCTGAAAAAAAAATTGTATTTAGTCTGAGATATAGAATAATTAAAACCAAGTAGAGAAACCTAATCTCCTATAGATATTATTTTAAGACTGCATCTATTCTCCTGTTTATACCAGACATGACTCTGAGTCCTGGAGAAATCTGTGCGGAAATCTCTAACAACCAAATTGTTTCCAGTTTCATTGTTGTGCTCTTTACTGTGTCTGGTATAAGCAGGAGGTGTAGTTTGGTCACAGCACCATCCTGCTGTTGGTCAACACACTCCATGCCATGCCTTAAAATGTTACTTTACAAATAACTTAGCTCAGAGTCTTAGAGCTGGGGTACCTTACTTTCTCACCACAGAAGGAAGAAGTTTGTCTAACTTATCTGTAGCCCTCGCAAATCCTCTACATTTGCTCAAATTTACATCTATTCATGTCTTTATAACAGCTTCAGGTGAGGAAGTGAAGCTTAGTTAAAACTGACAAATTCATCCAATTAGCGCTGCTACGACGAGAGATAAAGATGCTTAGTCTTTTTAGGAGACGTCTGCCTCTGTCTCATTCTGTCAAAGTCAATCATTGAAACATTTTGTACTCATGATTTTAAAGCATTTTTAGCTTATCTCCATTAGTACTGTATAATTGGCATATCTCTAGAATGATCTATTGATATGGTCTTTGTACTTCTGCTTCACTTTGTCCAAAGGTAAATTATAATTATTTTAGAGTGTGTTAAATGTTCCCTTGTTTACTGCAATATATTCACACACACTTTAGGACAGTGCATGTATTAGTATAAAGTTTTGACATGGTTGTGCTGGAACTGGCTCAATTTCATCCAAGGTTCTCGGGCAGTCAAACAAATATAACAGTTAATCATATAAACATGGCTCTTAAGTTATTGCTCACATGTTTTAGTTGAAAGGTTTTTTGGCTAATCTGAATTTCCCCCTCTGAGGGGCAAGTAAAGCATTCTTCTCATAACTACAATATTAACCCAGTACAGAATGTAAATGCTCATATTCATCCCTGCTAATTTACCTTAGCGATAAAGAGATGTTTTTAGTGGGCTTCACATCTCATGGCTTCAAGCACTCTCGTCCAGGAGAAAGGCTTCAGTCGTCCAGTGGGTTTGTTGGACTTCAGAAGAGAAGCGTTGAAATCCATGGCCAACTCATAACCTAGTCACTGAAAGGATCTGTTCCCACAGGTCCCTGAAGAGTGTTTGTTGACCTGTTAGCTAGCGTCCCTGTCGTTTACCCACTGTTCCGTTTTTCATCATAATTGGATATTTTCACAGCTACCATTAGTCTGATTGCAGCTGCAGCATTGGTAGTCACTACCCAGTCTAAATGTGACGTTAACGGCTGGGGGTGTTTCAGGTTGCCTCCACTGGAAGAGAAACGGCAAAGACTTTTCTTAATATTTGCAAAAGTGTGAGCTCTCAAATTGGAGAGTTTAAGAAAAGGTGGATCTAATCATAATTCCTTTTCTCTAACCCAAATTAGCCCTCGCCAACCTAACCCTTTTTCACGTACAGAGCCTCTGTAATTCAACAACACAGGTTTTCAGCATCCAAGGAGAGGTCCGGTCCTCTACCGCCACATCAGCATCAAGAAAACTCAAAGCCTGCATTTCTGCTTAGGGTGCAAATTTTGCTTCATTTCTTTTTAATATCTCCAACTTTTCCTCTCCTGCAGGCCAGTAATCCTGTATGCAGGTTTAGTATTGGCCATGTTTTTGTTGATGCCCCTTCAGATCAGACTAAATTCGAACTACTTTCAATTCACTGAGAAAAGGGTGTTGGCTCTTAAGGAGTCAGTGCTGAAAGTCACTATCGAGTCCTTGTAATTGCACTGATCAGTCTGTTATTACAGACCATAAAGATGACTGTACAGCTGAAGAAAAAACTTTCAATAATTTGAGGTCTAGCTATGTTAGCTTAGATTGTTTTGTGTGATGTTACTACTCCACTTCTCTGGTGTTAATAAAGTGTATCTTTTGTCTTTTGTTTGCGCCACTCAGGTCGCCCTCTCCTGAGCCAATCTATAACAGCGAAGGCAAGAGGCTGAACACCAGAGAATATCGCACACGCAAGAAGATCGAAGAGGAGCGCCACTCCCTCATCACTGAGATGATGGCTCTGAACCCTGAGTTCAAACCACCGGCTGATTACAAGTATGATGCTGTTGTATACGCTTGAATGAAGTCATTGGAGAATATCCTTTTTTCATCATCATTGTCTTTTTCAGGCCTCCTGCCACCAGAGTCAGCGACAAAGTCATGATTCCTCAAGACGAATACCCGGAAATAAACTTTGTAGGACTTCTGATTGGCCCACGGTCAGTTAATAGTACGACCCACATCATTAAGAAGACTGGATCACAAACATATTAATTTTGTTTTTGTTTTTTTTAGTGGTAACACACTTAAAAATATTGAAAAGGAGTGTTGTGCCAAGATTATGATCCGTGGGAAGGGTTCTGTGAAGGAAGGGAAGGTTGGCAGAAAAGACGGCCAAATGTTGCCAGGAGAAGACGAGCCTCTCCACGCTCTGGTCACTGCCAACACCATGGAGAACGTCAAGAAGGCAGTCGAGCAGGTTAGTTATTAGTTATTATAATTATAGGATCTGTTTGCTGTAAGTAAGTTACTAATGCTCTACACTTTGATAGATTCGCAACATTCTCAAGCAAGGCATTGAAACTCCAGAAGATCAGAACGACCTGCGGAAGATGCAGCTGAGAGAGCTGGCCCGGCTCAATGGAACTCTGCGGGAAGATGACAACCGGTTAGTTTTCCATAATCTCTTTAACAAACTAAAGTATAAACCAAGAGGAATAACATTTGTTCTTGTAGGATTCTGCGTCCATGGCAAAACGCAGAGCCCCGCAGCATCACTAATACAACCTTGTGCACCAAATGTGGTGGAGCAGGCCACATCTCCTCTGACTGTAAATATTCCAGGTACAGTGAATGAAATGAGCAGAAGTTTGCACTTTTTGGACGGTAACTAACTGTAACACTTCTCTTCTGTTCAGCACTTTTGCTGCTCACAGGGCGACTGGAGGAGAGCCTCCTCAGTCTGCTCAGGACAAGGCTCGCATGGACAAAGAATACCTGTCTCTGATGGCTGAGCTGGGAGAAGCTCCAGTGCCTTCGTCAGGCGGAGGACACGGTGGCTCAGGGGGTGGGCTTCGGCTCGGGGGACCCAATAACAACCAGGCTCCTCCGGTAAACTGTGTTTTTGTGAAGATGTGTTGTTTGTCTGAGTGCAACACTAACATGTGTCTCCTGCAGAACCGTCCTCCGTGGATGAACTCTGGACCAGGAGAGAACAGGAACTTCCACAGCATGTCTGGGGGGGGACCACATAACTTCCCTCCCCCAATGTCTAATATGGGAGGTCCTCCGATGCCGAACCCCAATGGGATGCCTCCCCCATGGATGCAGCCTCCTCCTCCCCCAATGGGCCATGGTGGACCTCATGGCCACCACATGGGTAAGTGGCTCTTTTTAATGTTGGATAATGTTTGGAAACCAAAGGGCTCATCTTAAATCTTTCTGTTCAGGTTTACTTCCTCCCCCAATGGGCATGATGCCACCTCCACCTCCTCCCCCTGGTAATCAGCCACCTCCCCCATCTGCAGCTCTCCCGCCATGGCAGCAGCAAGCTCCGCCCCCACCTCCCACTAGCAGCATGGCCACCAGCACACCGATGCCCTGGCAACAGAGTGAGTGAACAAAACGTGGACCTTTTTTAGGAGTGAAAAAGTGGTTATTCTAGAAAACCAATCAATAAAGTGCATACTTTAGGGCATCTTCTGGTTGGAGTCGATATATAGGGTTTGTAATTTTAGTGGTTTAGTTCTACAAGACCTTTTGAGATATTGGTATACTCCAATTCTAAGGGGTAATAACCAGTTTTGCATGAGGTAGCCCATAGATGGATGTCTATATAGTGCTGATTATCAGAGCATTAGTATCGGAGCCCTCTAGCACCTACAGATATGCGCTGTTTGCAAAGGGCTTAGGTCTTGAATGAACGTTACTTTTCAGTTCTAATAATAATGATACATTTTATTTCTAGATACTCGAGGGCGCCTTACATAACAAGTAAAAAGTACATTCAAAACACTTAAAATACAAAGTTACTTCGTTGAAGTTCTATTGCTCATAGACTGAATGAAACCTGTTTGGGACTCTCCACAGATACCACCACCACATCTAGCCCTGGCACAGCGAGTCTGCCGCCATGGCAACAACCACAGCAACCCACAGCCTCTGGCGCCCCAGCTCCCCCGTCCATGGGAAACTCATCCATGGTCCCTCCACCTCCTGGAGTCCAGCCTCCGCTCCCGCCTGGCGCTCCTCCCCCTCCACCACCTCCTCCTCCCGGCTCTTCTGGCATGCTGTACGTCCCTCCACCACCGCCACCCCCCATGGACCCCAACTATGTTACGATGATGGGGATGGGAGTACCAGGCATGCCACCGTTTGGCATACCCGCCCCACCTCCACCACCACCGCAGAGTTAAAGCCTCCGCCCTCATCCACCTGTCGTCCCACGGACTGATTTCAAAGCTTTGAGTCACATTAACAGTGCTTTATTTTTATTCAACCGTAATATTGTGAATACAGCACATATCTCATGGTGTAGATATGGATTCAACAGGCCTTGACCACATGTTCTGTATCGCTAACTTCAACACTTTTGTAATTATCCATCGACTGGATCCACTTTCCATCTGAAGAACATGCATGATGTATGCTGTCAAGTTGCTACTCTTATATTCACTTCACTTCTGGCTTTGATTTAGACTAAAATGAATATTTTTGTAAAAGATGTGAATTGTAAGCTCTGTCAACTTAGTTATAGTTATGTCTTGGTTTTCAAAAGCTTTTTTTTTTACCAATGTTTTGTTATCTCTTTTGATTGTTGCAGTGAGTGGAATACGGATCTGATGTTACCCACAGTTTCTGCTAAAATACATAAACTTTGACTTTGTTGTATTCCCTTCGCCTGTATTTAAGACGTGTGACGGGTGCTAATGTTTTATTGTTGCTAAAGTTGATCTTCATCATGAGGCTGTACATTTGTAGCTGTTTGACTTTGATTTGTTAGTATTAAAACAATTGATTTCAAATAATCAACCCTGGTGGCAAACTTGGGTATTACATTGTGATTGAAAATAATCAATGGGTTAGTTACTCCATCTTTTAACACACACACACTGGCCACCAGGTAAAAGCATTCACATTGGCTGTGACTCAAAGGCAAATAATGTACGGCTTTATATATCACCGTTATCCACTTACTCCACACACTTTTGTAGACGATAGACACAGTGGTTGAAACGAGGTTGTCAATTTGCCATATAGTCATTCACTCACAACGCACACGCCAGACTCATACAAGGCTATGCATGTATCTAGGAGCCTAACAAAAACGCCATGTCTATATGAAAATAAAAATCACAGTAGTTGAGAAAAGCAGCCATGGAGGTGTTTATAATAGCACTTATTATGTACACGTCGAACAGGATCTATTATTTAAGGTGATTAAATCATAAACTGGAGATATTACACTTTGGTCAAGGATAAGTCACTTGTGGGGTATACAGTAAATTGTAGTCAGCCGCATCATGAGGTTCTCATGTATAGATATGACCTTATAAACATATCAGCAGCTAAAGTGGCTGGTGAATTATCAGAATAGATGAGTGGCACGTGCTCAGCAGTTCTCATTGTACAGTCTGACTGCAGGAGGAACCTCTCCTTCACTCAGTGTAATGGATTTGCAACAAGGATTCTAACATCCCCGCGCTGTACTGTGCTTTACCCACAGTTCACTTCCTCCATGCCATCCCAGTGCCATCCACGCTCCCTCTACAGCGGAAATGTCGAATCTATTCAAATAAATTCATTTTGCTCAAAATAAAAAGGAGACGCTCAAACACAACACATAACATTCTAATGTTGCAGCAGCCGAAGAATGTACTCGAGTATCGGTAATAACAATTGCGGAAATTAACGAATATGTCTTCGGTGCAAACCGGAAACATTTCCCCGGTCTCTGCAGCTTGACGGGTCTACGTGACAAAACGAGCCAGTGACTGGAGCCCATCCCACCATCTGTACTCAGTCTATCCTCAGTCTGTGCTCAGTCTGAGGCAGAGCTGCTCCTGCTCCTGTGACTGTAGTATAGTGGGTACAGTGGGACCTCCGTCAGCATGGCCAAGCCGCTCTCCGACCACGACAGGAGGAAGCAGATCTCTGTGCGGGGTCTGGCCGGAGTGGAGAATGTCGCTGACCTCAAGACTAACTTCAACCGCCACCTCCATTTTACTCTGGTGAAAGACCGGAATGTCGCCACCAAGAGAGACTACTACTTCGCCCTGGCCAACACGGTGCGGGACCACCTGGTGGGCCGCTGGATCCGGACTCAGCAGCACTACTATGAGAAGGACCCCAAAGTGAGTAGGGGCGTGCATGTGTACACGGGGCCCCTCAGGAGCGTGCACAGCACGGGGACGTGCACTGCAGTGCCATCGATCATGTATGCACTCGCCGTGTGTCAAACACTAGTGATTCCCTTTTATAGTCATGCGCAGCGCTGCTCGATGCAGAGCGTGAACTTGAGGGATTCCACTGTCTGTCCATCTGCCTCTGATCCTCACTACTCTCTCTTATGTAACGATACATCCGCATCTCTAACCTTGATCTCTTCCTCTCAATGACGCTGCACTACAGCAGAACTAGAGCAGGACTACAGCAGAACTAGGGCTGCATTAGTCTGCACACACACATCATCATCATCACACACCTCCTTCTTGTCCAAGATGCAACTGGTTGTAACAATGATCGTTACGTAACTGGAGTACGTGCCCTGCATCCCCACTGAGACTGCATCACAAAATGGCTACATAGTTAAGCCATATTAAGCTACTTTCCCTGTCTGGTCCTGAGTCTGGATCTCACAACTGTAATCCCTCAGTGAAAACAACCTTTTATATGTCTTTACTTTGGTTCTAGTCTAGTACATCCCTGTTGCCAGGCAGAACTCCAACTAGACACTTTGTCCAAGTGATGGAGTCGGAGGTTATTTTGGAAAAAGTTATTTCATTGTGACACATTAACAATGTTGTGTTGAAGTTATTTTGAAAAAGTAATCAATTACTCATTACTTATCCATTCATCCATCTCTTATCTTCCACTTTATCCGTTGCTGATTGTGGGGGCAGCAGTCCTAAGCAGAGATGCCAAGACTTCCCTCTCCACACTTCCAGCTCATCACATGTTCCCAGGCTCTGCTTTCTACAAATGTAATATTAACACTACTTGCTGTACTCATTACTGCATCAAGAGGGACTTGGTGACTTTTACACTGCTTTGGTAGAAATACTACGTTATTACATTTTTTGTTACTGAGTTAAATCTTTAAATCCCAAACTGTCCATTTCTCTCCTCACATTTCACAACTGCTGCTGTTATAAGGCACGGATTTATAGCTGAACTTTTTTCCCCTTTATATTAAGACCTAATTATGACTGAACAGATAATTTGCTAAATTATGATAATACATAAAAATAATAAAAACCATGTAACATATTCTGCATAATTTCTCCAAACATCTCTGTCCACTTCCAGACGACCGAGATTCTGTTTTTCCAAATGCTCTCCCATTATTGATTGTTGAGCATCAATAATTTGGAGTGCGGCAAAAGTGAGTTGGAAAAAAGCTGTATATTTGATTGATTTCTGGCTCGCTTCATTCCATCTGACAAATATTACTTTAAAATTCAACATATGTAACACTTTAAAACCTTTTTACCAGGGCTCTCTGCTCTACAATACTGGTTATTGTCCTTGTGACGGAGGTGAAAGTCACTTCTAACTGTTGTCGTCTCAGCTGTTCTGTCCCAACCCCATGGTCCTAACACACACAGACATTCAACTGGTCTATTTTTAGAACCCCCTCGACAATCTATGGAATGTTTCACTAGATATTTGTTTTAATGTTGTGTACACAGTATAGAATTCTCTTCAGTTGGAGGCAGGCGCCCGAAAGAAGTTTGTGAAAGAAAAGAAAAAAGTCAAAACGTTTCCCCAGTCTCTCCATATTAGTCTGAAGTCTGAAAGTCCTCTCTCCAACATAATTTACTGTATGTTTCTGAATATTGTCACCACTTCTAGACACTTTTATGACAAAGTAGTGAGACCCTAGTTGGCACGTGCGGACAAAGCAGATGTGGAACTTAGTGACCATTTTTTTTCATGTGGATTGACCCGAGAATTAGAAAAAATATATCTCAAAACTAAGACTGTAAATGAGAATATACTGTTAATATAGATTCCTTTTTAAAAGTAAATGTTCTTTTTTTCTAATCAATGTTACTAAAAACCTTCTCTGGCTAAATATTGAAATGTTGATTTACAGTATATTCAGACTGTTCTGTTCTTCAGACCTGAAACATGAATTTTCCTATAAGATATGTCAATTCATGTCATTAAATATACATGTAAAAACAGTTAAATAGAATAAAACTGTTACCATAGTTACCAGGAAAGATTTCTCAGCTTCTCTCTACCACATTTTTACTGTAGGCTCTTTAGAATAGATGGATAGATAGTGTATTTATAACAATAGTTTAACAACAAGACTTTAGGGCACAGCAGCGGAGGTGAGCCGCTGGGTGGAGCAGGACACATGAACGAGACCTTTTGACCGTGAGACTAATATGGATTTTATAGCTTTTATAGAACGAGTCTGAGTTTATATTTCTCACTAACGTACTTTTCTCCTGGCAGCGCGTCTACTACATCTCCCTGGAGTTCTACATGGGGCGCACTCTGCAGAACACAATGGTAAACCTGGCCTTGGAGAACGCGTGTGACGAGGCCACGTACCAGGTAAAGCAAACTCCCACAAACTCGACTCCAACTAAACAATAACTCATGTCCTGTACAACGCCTCCTCTCAGCTCGGCCTCGACATGGAGGAACTGCAGGACATCGAGGAGGACGCTGGTCTCGGCAACGGCGGCCTCGGGCGACTCGCAGGTACACAATCTGAATATAACTGTCCCCTGGTAGGGCCGTTTTTAAAATTGCTTTTTGTGTCTTAAAAGGTGATCAAAAATAGGGAATTACTGAATAATAATAATGATTAAAATAAAATGCAAATATAAAATGTATTCTGTTAATAATAAAATGAAAAAAAAATAATAGTAATAAAAAGTATGATTTCTTAGGCACCTTTTGTAGATACTCAATGTTGTCTCGCATAACAAATAATAAGTACATTTTAAAAATAGTTAAAATACAAATTAAAAACGCCATGAACAGAGGGTAGTGTAGCATTTATTACAGAGTTCAACTGTTGTGGTTTGAAAGTTGGGTACCACAGCTTTAATCATTTGCTTTGAATTAACATTTCTGTGTCTTTCCTCTTTCTTTTCCTCCTCAGCCTGTTTCTTGGACTCTATGGCCACTTTGGGGCTGGCTGCTTACGGTTACGGCATTCGTTACGAGTTTGGAATCTTCAACCAGAAAATGGTGAACGGCTGGCAGGTCTGTGGTCATGTTTCTACTTTAATATCTTTATTCAAACAGGAAGAGGCTCAGGTGGAGATTTTAGATGTGCTTCTTTATTATGCTAAAGCTAGGGATTTTATACTTGCTTCTTTGTTATGCTTTAGTTACAACTTTTTGTTTGTTTTATTAAGCTTTAACATTTTTTTACAGAAAAAGAAAGCAAACAAAGAAAAAAAAGGACAAGACAAAAGTGTCGGTATCATATACATATCAGGATATGACCCACAAATTGGAAAAAAAAAAGAATAAAAAAAAGTATATATATCCAAAAAATAAGATTAAAAAAAAAAACAAATGTTATGCATATATACACACAGTTCAAATTGGATTTTCTCCAATGTTTCATTATGTCATGCAGTAGATGAACATAGGCTGGTGTTTGCTTTTGTTTCCAGTTCAATAGTACAAGACGCCGAGCTAACAAAGTCACAAACTTTGCTGAGACTGGGCTAACAGCAAACATTGCCAGTACAGGGTCTCGGCACAGTCGTGTTTAACAGATCTTCGATAGCAATTTAAATATTTGTGTCCAGAATGGTGCGATGTTGGGGCAGCTCCAAAAGGTGTGCGAAAGTGATGCCTTGTCCTGACTGCAGCGGTCACAAGTCAAGTTGGTTCCGGGAAACATTTTAAACAATCAAGCTTTAGAAAGTGTCACTTTGTTTTCACTGGACCAGCTCTATACTCTCCATCGGATACTCGAGGGTTCATGGGAGTTCGCCCAACCTGTCCACATGTGCTTTGTGGATTTGGAGAAGGCGTTCGACCGTGTTCCCCGGGGTGTCCTTTGGGGGGTCCTCCGGGAGTATGGGGTCCGGGGTCCTCTATTGAGGGCCGTTCGGTCCAGTGGCGGCTGGTGGAATTTTCTACTGGGGGGGCTATGAATATGATGACTAGATATATACCAGCAGTAAGTTTACACTGACTGTTGTGACTGAAGCCTCAGTGAGGCTTCAGCCTCAGTGAGGCTTCAGTCTGTGGTGCATTTAATGCACCACAAAATTTGACACAGTCTATTATTTTTGATAGGATGTGCCTATTCTTGTCAACCTCCTCATTGTGCTTTCTGATCCCTACCCTGTAGCTTTCATCCAGCTGGGATGAAATATTTATCTTCCCAAACATAGCTATTTTGAGGGCATTTTGCATGTGGATACCAGTCTGCTCATGCTTCTTTGCCTTTTCTAAAAAGTGCTTCAGATCAGTCATACCTGTCTTGATCCATGCTGGGTCAGATCCTGATGTTTGAAACAAGAGGCATGGAAAGCAAAATAAAGCATTAGCCTCGCTACATGCTGCTAGCCAAGATTTGGCGCTGAACCAGGTCCTGGAAAAAGTATGAGTGTACCGTCTCCCCCTGTCGCTGGACTGCTGACTAATGGTAATATTTGGCTGATCAGGTCCAAGCTCTTTAACCTCAACCTTCTCCTGGTATGATCTTCTCTCAAACGGTATTGTTTTGAGTGATCTAACTGAATTATTCTTTTTCTCGTTCTCCATTTTGCGTCTCTTTACGTTCGTCTCAAACTCCCACAGCTTGACCTGTCAATCACTGTAAACGGACGTCACAGACAGTGACAGTACAGGTCGCGGGCGATCCCGCCCCCTCAGGGCGCACTTCTCCTGCGCCCCCAAATCGTCTTATCTCTTGCATTGAAGAGGAGCTACTGCGCATGTCCAACTTTTAACGAGAGTCCATAGACGGCTCAGGGCGCAATCTTTTGCGCCCTGAGGCGGAAATACGTCCTCAGTCCGACACAGACAACGCTGATGAGCTTAATCAATCCAACTCAGCATAAACTATAAAGTATTTCTTCCACATCTGAAATAAAACACACATAAATTTCGAAATATTTTAATGTTATTTTTTTTACGTTTTATTCAAGGTAACATGGCAAGTTGTGAGTGGTGGGGCGGCGCCCTAGCGCCCTCTATTGGCCGGCCGCCACTGGTTCGGTCCCTGTATGACCGGAGTCAGAGCTGCGTGCGCATTACCGGCAGTAAGTCAGACCTGTTCCCGGTGCATGTTGGCCTCCGCCAAGGCTGCCCTTTGTCACCGGTTCTGTTCACTGTTCACTTCATGGACAGAATTTCTAGGGGCCGGAGGGGGTCCGGTTTGGCGACCACAGGATTTCATCTCCGCTGTTTGCGGACGATGTTGTCCTGTTGGCTTCAACGAACCAGGACCTACAACATGCACTGGGACGGTTTGCAGCCGAGTGTGAAGCGGCTGGGATGAGAATCAGCACCTCCAAATCCGAGGCCATGGTGCTCGACCGGAAAAAGGTGCCTTGCCCTCTGCAGGTGGGTGGAGAGGTCCTTCCTCAAGTGGAGGAGTTCAAGTATCTCGGGGTCTTGTTCACGAGTGAGGGAAGGATGGAGCGTGAGATTGACAGGCGGATCGGTGCAGCGTGCGCAGTGATGCGATCGCTGTATTGGACCGTTGTGGTGAAGAGGAAGCTGAGCCGAAAGGCAAAGCTCTCAATTTACCGGTCAATCTTCGTTCCCTCCCTCACCTATGGTCATGAGCTGTGGGTAATGACCGAAAGAACGAGATTGCGGATACAAGCGGTCGAAATGAGCTTCCTCCGCAGAGTGGCTGGGCGCTCCCTTAGAGGTAGGGTGAGGAGCTCAGTCACACGGGAGGAGCTCGGAGTAGAGCCGCTGCTACTCCACGTCGAGAGGAACCAGTTGAGGTGGCTCGGGCATCTGTTCCGGATGCCTCCTGGACGCCTCCCTGGGGAGGTGTTCTGGGCACGTCCCACCGGGAGGAGGCCCCGGGGAAGACCTAGGACACGCTGGAGGGACTATGTCTCCCAACTGGCCTTGGAACGCCTTGGGGTCCCCCCGGACGAGCTGGAGGAAGTGTGTGGATAGGGAAGTCTGGGCGTCTCTGCTTAGACTGCTGCCCCCGCGACCCGGCAACGGATGAAGCGGAAGAAAATGGATGGATGGATGGATGCTTTAGAAAGATGCAGTCTATGCAAGACCTTGAACTGCAGTAGGCCGTGCCGAGCACATACAGACGAAGAGTGGACATTCTCTTGTGCTTTTGAACATCGGGCGGCAGTGAAGTTTTCCTCAGTCTTGTTGCCATGCCTCCCTCAGGTGTTCCAATGAAGGCATGTCTTCCAGTTTGGATAAATCTTTTGAGATTGAACCCTTTTTCAGCGGATCTCGTAACAGTAACATATTAAAATTGTACTCAGGGGGCTGGTAGGGGAGGGATGGAAAGTTGCGGATTTGTAAATACAAATCTGTTCTCATGATCTTGTATTTTATACAAAGTTGCTCATACGTTGTAAATGTTCTCTGAACGAAAAGATCCTGCAATGACTTTATTCCCTTTTCCTTCCATTGATTAAAATATGGCTCCGAACATGCTGGGGTAAATTTGTGATTATGAGTTATTGGAGCCAATAATGAAATCTCCTTCCACTTAAAATGTTTTCCGATTTGGTGCAGTTTGTTTATAGACTGAGAAACCACAGTACTTTTAAATTTTGGAAGCGTAGACTTTAATGATGAATAAATTAGATCTTGCAATGATACCGGTTCTATACTTTGCTTTTCCATCTCTACCCCCTCAGCATTACACCAGAAAGACATGGACCGGATGTTACAAGACCAGTAGTAAAACTTAAGGAGAGGTAGTCCCAGTCCACCAAAGGTTTTAGGTCTTTGCAAAAATGTTTTCTTAATTCAAGGAGTCTTTTTCCTCCATATAAATTGTGAAATCCAATCCAATTTGCTGAAAAAAGATCTATTAATCAAATAAGGGATAAACAGAAACAGGAATATTGGCAAGACATTCATTGGTATAATGTTGATTCTACTCACCATCGAGATCGGGAGATTCATCCATTTGTCTAGGTTTTGCTTCGTCTGATCAAATAGGACAGAAAAGTTATGTTTGAAAAGACCTGAAAACTCTTTAGTCACTGTAATCCCTAGATATTTAACAATGTCTGATGTTGTAAATGGAGATGCTTTGAGAAAAGTTTGTAGCTGCCTTGAGGTGTTCATTTTTGGAAAAAGGACACTTTTTGAAACATTTGTTTTGTATCCTGATATTGATCCAAAGTCTCTCAGAACTGACATAACAGACAAGGAGTTCTCGCCGTTTGATACAAAGAGCAATAAATCATCTGCATACAACAAAAGCTCAGTATGCTCAGTATTACTGTCAGGGATGAATCAGACAGAGACGGATCGTGGTGTGCCAAACTCTGGAAGTTTATTTAAGTTTCTCTCAAGTTCCACTGGTTTACTCTGTTTCTTTCTCTCAGACAGAATAAAGGCAGTACACAGTTTATATAGTCATTGTCACGTCACACATCGAAAGACATACGTGTCACAAAGAGACAGTCAAATCATAGTCATAACATGGAGTCCTTGTACAGTCCTGCACGTAGGCCATATTGCTATCTAATACTAATACCCTCCCCTTTGATCACATAATCACATGTGATCACTCAAATCGATCAATCAATAAAGGTGGGGGTTTTTACATGTAAACCAGTAAAAGAGCAACTTAATAGGGATTTGTACATGTAAACCAGTATAATGCAACCTAATAGGGATTTTTCCAGAAAAAAAAAAATAAAAAAAAACCAGTATAATGCAACTTAATGTAAACCAGTATATAATATTTTTCCAAAAACAAAATGCAAAATAGGGATTTTTCATTAAACTCATGCAACCTAATCCAATCAATATCCAGTAATGACCACAGACCAGGTTTTTATTACCTCTGGTTTCAGCGGTGAGGGGATTTTTCAGTTTCAAGGACACTTTCAATACATTCAGTAGTTTCAAGGATTTCAACTGTTTAAGAATTTAACCAGTTTCAAGGATATCAGGAGGTTCAAGGATTTCAGGAGTTTCCACACTTTCAACAGTTTCCAGGTTTAAAAAAAGTTTCAAGGATTTCAGGAGTTTCAATGTTTCAACAGTTTCAAGGATTTCAGGAGTTTAAAGGTTTCAACAATTTCAAGGACTTCAGGAGTTTCAAATATCTATCAAGTATTTTAACAGTTTCAAGGCCTTTTAAAGGATTTCAAGGATTTTTTTTAGCAGATTTCCACATTAGATCTGTTCCGCAGTCAATCGCAATGGCTTCAGCCATTGCAAGTTTCTAGTTATTATTATTATTTTTATTTATTTTTATCTTTTTTTATGTTTATGGGATGAGTAAAAAATGTTTAAAAAAAACATAAATACAAAAAATAATGGATGGACAAATGACAGAAAGAAGGGCAATCTCTTATCAAAAACACAAGTATAAATCTTCTGTGTACACACATAATCACAGGAAATTCACTCTCAAATAAAAACAAAAAAATCTGCAAAAAACAAACACATCTTGCCTCATACTAAGTGAATGACTTTCTGCATCCGATTTCCACAATGACATATTCCCAGACTCGTGACCAGAAAAGCCTTTAAAAGCAGAGAGCGGGCGACAGGGGGGAACGGGGGCGATGTGCGAGCTGGCTTTGTTTTGTCAAAGCCGATGAGCAGAATCGACAATAAGCTGCACATGGGGATCAGCGCGGCAGCATGACTTGGACAGCTGCGTGTCTCAATTATTTTCTTCCCGACACTCGCGACCACGGGACCACAGCAGCTAATGAGTCGCCGGGAAAATAAAGAAATAAAAACATGTTAAAAACGATGTGGAAGAATGTTGTAAATGACCATCAGACATAAATACGTAAATACCAGGTCTGAGATAACAGCTGGTGAAATGTGGAATGTGACATTTGATAAAAGGGAGGTATGGATAAATATTCAAGCAGCAGCTGACTGAAACAGCTCCTTGGCACTCCATTGGAAAAGCTAAATAGACCATATTTCCTGCCAAGACAGAAAACTTGAAATTTCTCTACCTGCTGTCTTGGTTACGAAGTGGCAACCCGAACGTTTTTGTGGGCCAAACGTGAGAATATACCCAGCCGAACATCTGGTCGTCTGGCGTCCTTGAGATATAGTTGGTCTACAGTTACTTTATAGATATAGACTCATTTATAGATATAGACTCAGTCATACGAGCAATGGTCCACTGATATGACAAAGGCTGCTGATCATGGGGTGAGGAAATCATCGAGAATAATCTGATTAAGTCAAGTTCAAAGAGCAGGCTCACAGCAAAAAGTGGTGATATATAAAGTGATTTTCATCTTAATTTGAGCAAATTCTGATTTTCAAGATTTACCAATGGGCCAAAGCCATTTAGTCGTCCGTATTTCAAGAACGATTGCTTGCCTTTTTTACTTCAAAGGAGACATTTCTTGTATATTTTTAAAACAAGATCATTTAGCTTTTTCCCATTGGCAAATCTTGTTTTAAGGCAGTCAAAATGTGTTCTAATTAAAATGTGAAAACATTTGACTTATTTTGCATCACTTTTTGCAGTGTTTGTGGTGTAGTTTTGTATGAAGTTCTGTATGAAGTTACACTCAGTTGCATTCTCACTTGAAGCCAGCCGACAAATATTATGGTTAGAATGATATTTATGGAAGTATGCTTGTACAAGGAATGTTGAAAATGATTTTTGCGCATGGACCCAGCAGAAAATTGCAAACCTTAAGCAGGAGGGGATCCTAACAGAGATTATGCAAAAGGAAATGATAAACATTTGGTGCTTGAAGCTGAAGTGAAGAGCTGATGACTTGAAGAAACGTCCCACTGATGAAGTAGTGATGGGCAGGTGGGTTGCAGCACGAGCTCAAAGCTGTGAAGATGCAGTGATTGTGCCACGTGAGGCTGATTACTAATTATCAAAGCCAAATGTGTGTAACGAGAGGCTGGCTGGAGTGAAGGCAGGTGAGGTCACATAGGCTTCATTAGTCTCATATCCATGTAGAATTATAATGACTAGCAGCTAGCTAACTGTAAAAGGAGGTTTTGAAAGTCGTAGCGCACACAGTCCTTGACAAAACGTAATAGCTAATGTATTAATACCTCCCAGAGACAAGAAACGGGCCGTGACATTTAGAGTTTGAGGCCCTAATGGCTCTTGTCCATTTTCTTCTCTTGCAGGCGTCCCAGTGGGATCAGAGCCCAGCGAGGGGTTCAGCAATAGGTCCCAGCACGAAGCCTCCTCTCCTCTTGGTCTCTTCATGTCCAGAGTACCTCTAAAAGCCTGTTCGGGTCATTGTGTTCCAGAGTGAAACACATCACGCTAAGCCGTCATGTTTGGGCTGGTAAGTGGGCAAACCTAAACCCATTCTGATGCAGTTTCTTTCTATTGTGTGCAGAACGTTCTTACAAATGCCCAGTAGAGGCAGAAAGATGGGGGGGGGACAATTACTAAGACGACGACTAAGTCACCCAAGGAGACTGATAGAGGCTAGGTTAATATTTGGAGCAGAAAAAAACAAATATCCAATATATATGTCAGGCTTGGCGGCAGTGTCCGCTGTGTCATGTGAAAATATTACCGGTAAAAGTCACAAATAGCTGTCAATTCAATTCAATTTATTCTTGTATTTCCCTAAATCACAACAGTAGTTACTGTATCTCAGAGGACTTTACAGAACCGTTGAATTCGCCAAAACAGATCAGAAAATCCAATACCCCAATCTCTGTGTACCCTGTGATTTTCCCCATTTGTTGCTGGTCCATTGTCTTTGCTTGTCTTTGTCTGTCTATGTTCCTGAGTTTCGATTGGAATCTTGATTCGTTTTTACCCCGGGCTTTTATTTTATTATATTAATTATATCATTATGTTTGCATTCCTTCTTTTTGGGTCCTCTTTCACGTCATTCTTCCGTGACAATTGGTCCATAAGGGGCAGATGACCAACGTCCATAAATGTCTATAAATGTTGAACGTCGAGTGTCCTGGGAGTCACCACCAACAATCTAAACCTTCTAAACAATATTCCATCTTTTTACGAGCTCTGAGACCACAATTGAATCCTCTCTGACCAGCTCGGGTAATGAAACACAGCGCTCGATAATGTATTCTCACGTAGCAGACTGAAATGAGCTGCAGTGAAGTAAGTGGAACATGAAAGGATGTATTTGAGCGATCATTTACCGTTGCCAGCTGTACGCCGCTCCCCCCCACTGTGCATACATGCCCCGGAGTCTGTGTTTGAGCAGGCGGATAAGACTCTATAGTCAAGTGAGCGTCCGTGTAGAGGATGCTCACTCCTCCATCCATCCGTCCTAACCCCCTGCCGCCTTTATTTCGCTCGCAGAATGCGAAGCGGCAGATTACAACACACGCATGTCTCCCCACTGTCGTCCAGAGCGATGGGGTAATTGAAAAGTGTGGTTGTGAGTGAAGACTGGGTGGAAGTCTGACTGAGGTGGGCTAAAGCGTTTACTAAGGAGCCTGAAGCTTTGGGGAAAACTGTAGTCCATCATTTAAAGGAGTGATGGAGGGCCTCATCCACTCCGAGCTAATGTCGGCTGAAGCTATTAGCTCGCCTTAATGTCATCTGCAGAGGGGGGCCCATCGCGGCGCTCACTCCACACCGCTGTCATTTGTTGATTTTGGCACAGAATAGATATTGAATGCTTGTGTTTCTAGGCCATTCGCAGACCACTAATGCAAACACTGCCCTGACCCGGTTCCAAGAAAATTGTGTGCAGCAGCTTTGGACAAGGCTCACGACAAATAAGAAACCTGGGTTTGCATTAGATTGATAGCGTATTTATCATTAGCAGAGAAACAAAAGCCAATTGTTTTCAGATTTCACTTTAATACATGCCACAGGGTGATATGGCATTTGAGATGTGCTGATACAATGAGTATCAAATGTCAATGCAAGAATTTCAATTCAATCCAATAAAAAAGTCGACCAAAGTGCAATTCGTAGCATAGAGAAGAACAACAATAACCCACAGTCATTGCATTTGTATGAAATCAAAAGATAAAAACAAGATGAAAACAGTACACAAAATCAAAAACAGTTTAGGGACATTGGTTGGATTTGGTATCGGTTAAGATGGACGTATGAATTATTACGTATGAGACCATTTACCAGCTGATATTAAACCAGAAGATCATACATTTACTCTTACAAGTTCTTGTTCTTGTAGTTATTTAAAATAAATAAAAATAAACTAAAATACCTAAAACACAATTGGAGCCATTTTGTAATAAGTTCAGTGATGTAAGGAGCGATACAAGCTGGGTTGGTTCATCTCTCTTCTCAATATCACCAAGACCAGTGACTTCAGGCTTATTTATATGTTATATGTTTCTTTTTAATACATACAAAAATAAAGTCCTTATTTGAATTTTCATCAAAATGCTTTTCTACTTTAGTGTTGACAACTGGGAAAGCAGCAGTCGACTACAAGCAATGTTAATATTTATTCAGGCTTTTAAATTCATTTTAGTACAACTTGTAAGGTACGCAAATAAAATGTTATGTTCCATTTAAAGATTACGATCCTTCATCATTTTAATTGTATTTGTCCCAACCCTGTTGAGAGGGTTTCTCTCTGCACCATGTCCAATCAGCAGGACGTGTACCAAAACCTCCATGAACATGTGTGATATGTTTGCTTTTAAAAGCTGTGGGAAAAGCCTTTATTGAGACAGGATTTAGTGCACACTGCTAATCTCTGTGAGTAAGTCAACATCTTCTGGAGCAGCACCTGTTGGAATGGAAATGAACTTGAATGAATTATTCTTGAACATATCTTTGGAACAACATCAAACACTGAGGTCGTAGTTCTTATACATAACATGAAATGATGCCTCTTTTTTAAATATGAATGTCAAGAGAGGAAAGGAGCACTCACTCTGATTAAATGCCATGAAGAAAGGAATACATTAGAGAACATATAGAAAAGTAATTTATCCACTTACACTCAAGGATTATGAAAACAGATTTTTAACAGAATCATTTTGTTGATATGCCACACAGCACTTTGAACAACAATAGGAATGGGACTACATTTAACTCTGGGGAGTGCTCTCTGAAGCAGCAGCTTTTGTATCGGTCGCAGAGACTGCCGGAATAAATGTTATGACAATAAAGCGTTACTTGGATACTTCGGTCTTTATCCTTTTCATGTTTTCTGAGACACCTTCACCTCTGACTGAGAACATGAGACGATCAGCCAGTCGACCTAACCCTAACGTTTGCACAATGGAGCTGGCTCTTCACTGGACCCTTGACCCTGTTATTAACTTTCAACCACAGGGAAAGTTAATAACATTGCTATCTTACAACTGTCTGCTTTAGAAGAACCAAATAACCTTATTCTACTGTGGAAACCTTTAAAGGGCCCATATTTCGCTCTTTTTTCACAGTCCATCCTAATCAAGTGTGATAATAAATTACAAAAGTGAGGATGGGAAAGGCGCACTTATCACACTTATGATTAGGGGCCAAGTGGCTGTGCAGGCTGATTCGCTGTTTTGATTTCTACCCTGTCAATCACTTCCTGGAGGCGGGCTTCTCCAGCTTGTGCCATGTTAAATTAATCTAGTTGTTTTGCTGCCTCTCTAGAATGGACGAGAATGATCGCTCTCTAACCAAAGCTTGAGGGAATGAATGAAAAAACGACTTTGGGCATGTGTATTGGGCCAAATTGCACTGTAATGATGCATGTAGAAGTAAAAGCGTAATACGGGTCCTTTAATTATACTGAGAATAGGAAAAATGGTACAAACTTGCGAGCTTAAGTGCAATAAAAACACTTATTAAAAAGGAGAAAAAACAGTGTATACATTTGGGGGAATAAAAAAAACAATTTAATATTTTGCAAGAAGAAATATGAAGTTTATAAGACTTTTTTTTTTTTATCAGGAGACACATTTAAGGACTTTCCTCACCCACCCAAGAGTTTTTTTGGGGACAGATTTAAGTTCTTTGCGAGTATGCAGCAACAAATCCAGCCCAGTGTTTTCCTCCGGGGCCGACTCGCTCATTATATCGCAGCTCTGGCCTGAAACCTCAAATGTCATTGCAATGTAGCCACCTGTGTCAGAAGTGGTTCTGGGCCAAACGATGCTGGCATTTAGTGGATTTCTTTGGATGTTATTGGTGATTAATAGTGACCTTTTCTATTCACCTGAGAAAGCAATGCTCTCAGCGCACGCTTCATAATTCCACACTCATTCGGGTCAGTCGTCCCAGAGCAGGCTTTACGGGCAGAGACAGACAACAGACCAGCAGACCGGCGGGAAACTTCCCATTAACGGGAGGAAGGAAACACAAACAAAGCACGTGGAGCTGGAGAGACAAAGACAAAGGTCGCATTAGAATCTGCTGGGACAGAGCGGGGAAGGTAAAGTCAGAACCATGGTTGAGGAGGAAATAGACAACCCCCAACCAACACCATCCATTCATACCTATTGTGCAAGTTTTTAGTGGTAGGGGAAACCGGAGCACCTGGAGGAAACCTATGCAGACAAACCCTGGACCTTCTTGCTGTGAAACACAAGCTCTAAATCCGGTTGTGTGTGTGTGTATGTGTATGTATGTGTGTGTGTGTGTGTGTGTCTGTGTATGTATGTGTGTGTGTGTATGTATTGAGTGCCTGCATATGTCTTGAAATTATAGAATTATCAGAGTTCTAAAACCTCCTCTCAGCGTTCTTAACTCTATGAAAAGTCCAATAAACAGCAAATCGATTACTAAATGAGTTGTATTTCAATAATAAATTTGTTGCAAATAGCTTGTTATGCAACTTCATCTTTCCCCATTAATTTTGATTGCCCAATATCAAATCATGAAGTCGCATTTGTAAACATTGGTGTTTTGATTTTGATTATTGCTTTCATCTAATCAGAATCAGAATGAGCCTCAAATTAACTTCTCATTTGCAATTCCTGTTTCAATCATGAAATTCAGTCTTAAACTAAACTTAAAATGATCCGAATCCTCTCTATGTCCCCAGCACCTGCACCAAATATGAATCAGTAAATCCAAGAGGAGTGTGGAGTTTGCATGTTCTCCCTGTGTCTGCGTAGGTTTCTTCCAGGTGCTCCGGTTTTTCCCCAGACCATTAAGAACCATTTACAATTGGTTTGAAAGTAAAAGTGAGTGAACTAAAGGTGATGATCTGATCGTCTGGTTTCTGTCATCGCTGTGAGTGGAGTGAATGGAAAAAATATTAGTGCTCCATAACCTTGCAAAGTGCTATGTGTGACCTTGGACAGTGAAATGC